TTCTGCCTGTGGGGTCAGGGGTACCCTAAATATATTAAATTAATATATTCTTAACATAAATCAATTAATACAGCTTTAAAATATCACAGCATCCAGTCAGAGAGCTTTAATTAATAACCAAATCATTTAATAAACAATCTCATGTATGACAAACATCCTTAAATCTCGCTCTCTCTTTAGTCTGTTATCACGTCCCTTCAAACAACAATTTGACTTTGTTTCATTTGAAGTAACTGAACAAAGGCGGATGAGAAATGCTGGGAAGAGAAATCTTGGACAAAGCGAGCCTCAGAGGAGTGTTTTCTAAGAGGTAATTATTACCACTCCTCGCTCCCTCTGTCCCTGCTGAAAGCTACCCATTATAAAAACCAGTCACATGGACAGCTTCTCCCTTTGAGGGACCGCCACCGTGTCTCATAACCATAAATAGAGCCAGGCAGGGGGAGACATCAAATTATCTTCTTTCACACACCTTGATTTCTGGAAAGACTCTGTGATGCATACCAAATAAAAGCAGGTGGATGAAGAATACATAGAGATTGGGGCGTCCCTGAGGGTGGAGGTGGTGTAATATTGACCGAGGTTCCTGCTCTGCATGCTGAACAGATGTGAGAGCACAGAAGTGGAGAAGCAGGAAGAAATGAAGCTCTCGTTGGGGTCAACAGCAATCTCAGCTTAATTAACCAAATGATCAACTGCTTCTGCAACCAGTTCAATATCGTCCCAGTTCTTTCCTTTCAGCTGCTGACGTGGTCGAAATTACACCCCCCCCAACCTCACACTGCTGTTTAAAGGACCAGTGTGTAAACTATTAGTGGCATCTAGTGGTGGTCTTTCAACCGGTAGCGTTAGCCAGAGTTGTGGAAAGCTTCATCGTCGCTTTGGATGCCAACAAGGTCTAGATAACTGGCTCGCTGGATTCGGCCACGTCCGCCTGAACGGGCTGCACCACCAGGACGGGAACTTCGAGGTTCAGTAAGTCCTTAAACAGATTTTCATTGGTCGCCATTGGTCGTGTTCACAGGTTGTTGATGTAAATGAGGAGATCTATGTGTCACATGTTAACTTTTTGGCGTTAAATATGGCAGAGTGAATTTAGCAGATTTTTGGCCCGATATTTCAGGCAACTTAAACGTGTTAAATGTCCAATGTTTGGGGATTTCCTCTTATTTACAGACTTAATAAAGATGTTTAATTAAGACTTTAAAGTTTGTGACGAGATGAAACCGTTTTATAACATTACAGAACGGTTACAGCTGGATTAAAGCCGGCTGATGGTCAGGTGTCTGTTTTAGATTGTTTCTGTTTATTATGAGCATTGTATTGTGTGTAGAAATGCTAATAAAGCCACTTGAGTTGAATAGTGTTATAATGTCTGTCTGGATGCTACATGCTCAGTTGCTTTCACAGGAAGTCCGACAGCAGAATATCCCTCTTGTAAATGTGTAACCACGGCGATAACATGGCGTTCACAGTGTATCCTCGAGTTAAATTCATGCTTTGCAGAGGGAGAAACTCCTCCGTGGGTAATACCAAGAAAAAGGGAGCATCAGTTTGAGTTGATACAGAAATAAACACTATGTTGGTGAGATTTTACAGATGACACTATGACGTCCCGTTCCAGTGAAGGCAGCACGGAGCTGCGCTACAGGAAGCTGACAGAAACACTGAATAAAGAGAGTTGAGAGTTGTTTCTATGGAAACTGGCAGGTTTTAATGTTGCAGACCACATTTTTTTGACAAGTTTCAATTCATTTTGTTGTGAATCTTTTGTGTTAAAACCCCCAAGAACACCTCGACACCCCCATTTCTAAAATATTGCGTCCAGCGCCGCCCGACTCTCTGAATGAAAGTCACAAAAACACAAAAGCGATTCCTATATTCAGGTGATCATACACAATATTATATTCCATCACTGTTTATATTCAGCACTCATCTGGTTAAGTTTTGACCTACTTTAAGGACCAGGAGCTTTCCACTGTCTGACCTGTTTAAGCACGGAGGCCCAGTATCGGCTCGTAACCTCTCTCCAGGGTAAGTATTGATTATTTGATGGTAAATCGAGGTCATTTTCACTGTGACTTTACTCGTTAAACCCCTCTAATACGACACAAAAGAGTGAAGATCCGCGTTTTTTTTTAACGGTAGACGATCTTTTGAAGTTGAGACTCTCACAGTTGAACTGAGGTGAAAGTGATGTAATGGTGTCTGCTGACTAAGCACATGCGTACCCAGAAATAGAGTTTAAAATTCAGAGAGTTTAATTATTCAACACGGACCTAAAATACTACTAGACTCACTGTTGGCAAACGTCATGTTTTAGTCAGAGCCGTGGGTTCGGCTTTTCCAGCCTGTTAGTTTTGGAGCCGTTATAAATGTTGACACGAGGAAGAAGAGGACGCAGTCACCTTCTTCTCCGAGGGAAATGCTCTCGGTTGGTCAAACTGAGGGCTGCTTTAAAAGGATGATGACACTTTAATTTATTTAGTTTTCCCTTATTTTAATAATGAGAAGTGCAAATGGCCTCAGTTCGTCTGATCTGGTGCAGGTTTTGTTCTCAACCACACAAACTAATAAAATCAAATATCAAATATAGTCATTTAAACTCATTCAAATGAACAAAAAGTGGGTTTGTTCACTGTTTCGATATCGAATCACAGGCGAAAAATCAAGAAAATGGACAATAAAGTTGAAAAACATGGAGAAAATGGGTAAAACAATGACAGCGCCCCCTACAGAGAAGTCCACCGATGTCACCCAACAGGAAGTCAGCCATTTTTAATTTAGCACCCGTTGTATTTGAATGAACTCCTCCGAGGGAATCGATCGGATCGACTTCAAATTTGATCAGTGCGATCTAAAGACATTCACGATTAGGCGCGTCCGAGGCGTGGCGGCAACCTTTTGATGTTTCGCCAAGAAACAAGAAGTCGTTGTAACTTCAGCGTACTTTGTCCAATCTGCACCAAAAGGCACTGAACACATCTACATGTTAATATTCAGTCATTCAGCCCCCCCCCGAAAAAAAAAGGGGGGGTTTTTTTGTCACAACCCCCGCCAAAAAAAATTTAAAAAAAAAAAAAATTTTTGGAAAAAAAACAACTGAATTATTGTATTGTCTGAAAAATAAAATCCATATTGTGCATCCTTGTTCATTCTAGCACCAATATCAGACGAACCCAAACAATACAGAACCTTTTACAGTGGAATATATGATGAATAATTGGTTTAAACATCTCATTAGTGTTAATGTTGATGGGAAATAAGTGAAGTGAAACTTTAAACTCTAACTGAGGACTGAAGACTGAACAGTCAAGCCGACCATCTGCCGCAGTCACACACTACAACACTCGTGTGTGTGTGCACATAAGTATGTGGGCATGACCACATGTGCCTGTGTGTGCTGCTCGTTTCACCAGGTGGTTTCAGTCTCTGCAGAACTCACAGCGAGAAGATAAATTAACAGTCGATCGCACTGCGCTCTCAGTAAAACTGCATTTATTAACATTCACTGGAAACGAGATGAACCGATTGAAGCCGACGGAGCTCCTGAACATCAAAGACGTCTGACTGTGTAAATAAGTTACTTTTAATTGGATTTAATTTGATCGGGCCATGCAGTCTGACCTCTGCGGGGCTCCAGCCAGCAGTCTGAATCTGATTACACAATACAAAAAGAAAGAATAATTACAGCACACACAGAGAGTCTACGCCTCCAATAAAGAACACAAATTAATATTTAATAATAGAAAATGTTCAGAGGTTTTTAGTGAGACAGCTTAAACTGTCCTAACACTACAGCGAGAGTGCGTAGAGACACATCCAACTCAGCTGCAGCTGTCATTTGAGCACAATGTGATGAAGCAACACCAGAATAAGAGGCAGCTTCTAGTAACGATTCCTGTTCACATCTGGACACTTTTTATACCAAAATGTATTTAAAAAAAACCAACAGTGCTAAAAAACCCACTGAGATCTCTGCTTTAAAAACTGTTGTAACCTCTAAATGTTCATTAAAGTAAACTGCACATAAAAATTAAGTCAGTGTCACTAAAGATGAGTAAAGCTGCTTGATCAAGAAACTTAAAAAATGAAGTTAGTTTTACTTCAAATGTTCAATGTGATCAGTTTCAACAATTTCAACATCTTGTTTTACAGTGTCGGTGAACATATAGTACATTATTTTTGTATAATGTTAATCTTTGATGTGATGATAAAGACATTAACCTATCTTGTAGCTGGTGGTTTGTTGGGTTTATACACAATATTATACTCAGCTTCTGACAATAAATCCTCCTCAATGTAACACACTGGACCTCTAAACGCTGCGAACTTCAGCATTTTTTTCTAGAAAACTAACATAACGCCAACTTCAACAACTCTTTTTAAGAAATCATCTTCCAGGACTTTTTCCAGGAGTTTTTAACACTCTGCATCTGCTCTCTAGCTTTAAGTACGTAAAACTATATAGATGATACTGTTTGGTTACTGTAGGGAAAGGTTAAAACATTCCCTCTTCAAAAATGTGCATCAAACATCAAAAGGAACATGTGATCATTTCCAGGCGTTTCCATGAAGGGAAACTACGCTCTAAATTTCCAGATTTTCCATTAACTTGTACTTTGAGTCATTTATTAAACAGGTACTTTTTACCTTTTGTTCTTTTAATAATTGTACTTTTACTTGAGCTTGACTTTACAGATTGTCAGGACTCGACCGAACACTGTTCAAATGTTCCTACACAGGTAACTAGCTATCTCCATAAAAAAATGATATGTTATATTCTTAAATCTGAATATTTATTTATTAACAACCTTCCAACCAGAAATCAACTGACATGTTTGATTAATTATCAGGTCGATGTACTAAAAACATCCAAGAAATCCAGACTCAGGAGTTATTGGCTCTTGATGAACTGAGAAATGTGTGAATAAACTGAAGCTGAAAATGAAATGAAGGGTGAAGGGACCGGACTGAGTAAGCAACAGAAAGCATCGTACCATATGATGTACCTGTTTAATGGCTCTTGGGTTCAAAATGAAGGCGGGAGAATTGGAATCCGTGGCCTTTGACCTCGTCCTGCTTTACATCCGCTGTAGAGGAGAGAAACAAGAGGAGTCACCTGTGAGAGGAACAGTCGAAAGGTTAAAAACATTTAAAGGGAGATTCTTGCCCTCGTTGTTTTTAACCACATTAGCAGGAAGTAGATGAATCATAAAGACTTTAATGATCCCCTGATTGTTCCTCCAGTTTCCACCAGTTTCACATTAGTGGTTTTGAGTGAAATATCTTTATCTAAGGGCTTTAATCTAAGATTTATCATTTATTATTAATTATTATTTTAAGCACAAACAGTAATAGGATATATCACAATATATTTATTTTAATATAAATGTTTCTTAAGAGGTAAAACACTGGTACGTCATTTCTGCCAATGTAAAGGGAAAAGAAAGGTTTCTATATGTCTTTATGATGAGAAACTTTCCCAAAATAATGACACAGTTTCTGAATATTATGACTTTGAGGTAATAAGTCAATATTTTGATAAAGTTTATTTTTTGTTGGCGGTAAAATGTGCTTCCATGGCAACTTTATAGCAGCTAAAATACTCTTACTACTGTAAATACTGTATTAATATGATATTTTACATTGCACAGACAGACAGACAGACAGACAGGAAGTATGTGTTTTGATTTGAGGTGATAGAAAATACTGTTTGTATTACTGCCCCCTTTGCAACCACTGTTCAACATACTTACAGCAGATTATTGTTCGCTGCTTGTTGTCAGATTTTCTAAACCTAAACCATGAAAGTCAGCGCGGTGAGTTACATCTACGCACCGCTGAACAGAGAGGAAGGTCTATAGCTGAGATTATTATTATAAGATGAATTATAATAACTTTGGTGATCCTCTGACTTCCTACAGCGCCATCTTCAGGTCAAAACTCTGTCCAGTACATTGGTTTAAATGCCAAAATTAAACCTGCAAAACATTCCCGTCAGCCTCAGGTGTACTGGCTTAGTGCTAAAGTTAGAATGCGAGCACGGTCGGCTAAGATGACGAACATCATATTTATACATCAACATGTTATCACTGCCACTTTGACAGTGTGAGCATGCTGATGTTAGCATTTAGCTCAAAGCATCGCTGTGCTTATACAGAGTCACACACTAACATAGCTGTAGAATATTTTTAATATTATATAGTCTCAATCAAATTAAAGAATTTGATTGATTGTTTGCTCTCAAAGTCCAAGCTGATGTCTTTAAATATCTTGTGTTGTCAGTCTAAAAAAATATCAGTTTAAGACATTAAAAAATGACTTCAAAATAGTATAAATAGTATTTTTCTATTGATCGACTAATCTTTGCAGGTGTGTTATAATCCATGTGACACCACAGAGGAGATACAGTACGTATTCTGCAGGCCTCATTAAACACATTTAACCCTGCAAGTCTCAAATAAATTAACATACTTCTTTGTTTTCCTTCCAGACAAAAGCACAGACACAAGAGTTCACGCTGCGACCCGGTCCTTGTAGTCTACATAATGTCCAGCTGTTTCTATAGCAACCAGCGCATTGCGAGCAGGAATGCAATCATGATCGATGATGTTGCTGTAAGCGTACTGTACGCTCCCCGACGGTGCACAGGGCCATGGGAAATGCCAAAGACAAGTAAAAAATCACTTCAGTAATGAGAGTGATTCATCATGTTAATGCTCAGTGTTTCTTGTGCTGCTGTGATTCACAGCTCATGATTCATGTTTTTTTGTTTGTTTTCAATACGTGATTCAAAGCTGCAGAACTATTTGTCACAATCTTCCAGACCTGCGAGCAGTAAATACACACGAAGAAGAGTCGTGACAGCAGAGAGCGGCGTGAAAAGCTCATAACAAACCATCACAGAGACAATGCAGCCGGAAGATTAAAAGTGGACACACTAATCCTTCAGTGCTTAGAAGCTCTTTTGTTTGTGTGTCACTGTTGACAAAGCTTTTGTTTAATATTCAGCATGACTACTGTCCCCTGTGGGCCACCACATATTGATCTGTGAGCGCTGGTAACCAGGCGATTGTTTCCAGCTCATTCTGGGAGAGACAAGTTTGGATCAGAAAACAACTAAACATGCAGCAAGTATTTCTCTGCAGCATAAATATTCATCACTAAATGTGCAACAATAGAGTTTAATATTCAAAAACTCAGCTAATCCGCTTCATCAGGACTGTGTGTTTGTGGTTTGATTAAATTTGATTGACAGCGACCTGACAACATCAGCAAATGTCACTTTTTGATTCAAATATTGGAAGAAATCCTGATTGGTGCACAGACATGAACGATATCAGCTGAACAGCAACCCATTTAAAACCAGGGAGAAGAGCACAGAGAAAGAAATACAAATCTCTCATGCGGGGATGTCACGAGAAACAAAACTCTGGTAATAAGTCGACGGCAAAAGTCTGAAAACTTGACAGTACTTTTACTTTTCACAGTTTTTTCGACCGTATCGGGGATGTAACTCTTTATCGGGTTATCGGGTTTTCGACCGTATCGGGGATGTAACTCTTTATATCACACTCGTTGTGGTGGAGAGCCGCTGCAAGTGCAACAAAAGCTGCACCGACAAAAAGTAAATAAACACTCGCAGTTCATTCAGGTAAATGTTGCACCGAAGCAACAAACTCCCTCCAGACAGCCACACGATCAAATACGATATGTTTAGTATATCCACTTCTCCAGGCACCACTGCAGATACCCAATGTTAAATAGGGATCAGGGGTAAAAGAACTTGATCCCTGTTGTTTACTGTGGTATTAAATTGGGTATCGAGAATTGTGGAATTTCACTGGTTTTGGTATCGACTACTACGTTTCTGGTATTGTGACATCTTCAGTCTAGTAATGTGTAATATCCAACAGGTTGTCAGGGCCTTTAAGAGGAGCCTCACAACCTCTAGTCCCATTCCTCTCATATGATTAACACCCATTAAGTTTAACTTCATTAAAAAGAAAAGAAAAGAGCAGAATTAGAGCTTAAAAACAGTCGATAAAACACAGAATAAAACTTGTTCTGAAGGCACAACGTTCACGTCAGAGCCGATATTAGCTTTCACTAAACTAACTGAGTTTACAATATTCAGTCAGTCTTGTGTTTGATCATGTGATCATGTGATCAGAGCGAGCTAACTTACTTTACTTCACATGTGATGTAAACCTAATGCATGTTGTACCGCTGCTGCTCGCTCTGCAGTGGAGAGAGGTCCTTCAAAATAAAGGTTATCTACGCTTTTAAAATATATACTGTTCATATATTACTGGACATTTTTCAAGATCACAACTTTGTCGAGAGCAACATGCTGCAGGAAGGATCTGTCCGTGGGAAATGTGGATGGAATAACTTCACTAAGAATATATATATATATAATTTCAAACCACTTTACAGCAGCGTGACGTTACGTAATCTCTCATTAGTCGAGCAGATTGATGGAGGAGAAGCAATGTGAGCAGTTTGGAGATATTTTAAGCAACTTTTACAACATCTAATTTGTTACAGTCGAACATGTGATGAAAATAAAACATGTTTTCGAAGTCACTGTTAGAACTGTACTCATATCCGTGTACGATCTTGTCTCTGTATTTGATCTAAAAGAGGTGGTATCTGTGCATCCTTGTGACAAACATCTGCATTAGAGACATTAGAGAAGTGGTGACACATTCCAGATGTTAAGCCACCAAAAAGAAAACACGAGGACGAAGAGAAACCTTATGGAGGTCTGTGTTTTTGCGAGAGTTGGCGTCTTTATCCAGGCTACAATATAAAGCTCATAAATTAGAAGCAGTTTTACAGCCGTTGGCAGACGTGACGAAGACTTAATAAATATAAACCTTTGATTCTCTGCCCAAACCCGACTGGACCCGACGCTGCCGGCCAGGTCCATAACTGCTGCTAGAGGTCCGGCTCAGCTCGGGCTGAATTCAAGTGTATTTTTGATATATATTTAATATTTAATTAACAATGCATGCAACTGCAGTTAATGAGTTAATTAGTAATTTATCAGTTTTATAATAATTTGCATTGTATCAAATGCACAATGTAGTTTACTTTAGCTTATAATAAACTTTTTTATTTTAAACAGAAATTTGGGTTCCGGTTGGGCTATGATTTCATGGTTCGCCTCCGGACTTTTCGGCCTATTTTGAGCAGGATATTGTCTTTTGGGGATATTTTAAGCAGGATATTGTCTTTTAATCCTGCACACGGCTACCGGTTGCTGCTGGCAGCTTTGCCGACGATACAGGCCTGTCAAACAGGAGGCACATGACTCACGGATGTGGAGGACCTTCCAAATCAGTTGACAGCAGCGCTGCCCACACAACAAGAAGCCCTTCTCCCCATTTCTTACTTGCTCTATTTCCTCAGTGTGAAACAAAATCACATTCATGTGCAGATGAGGTGAGACGGTGAGTAATCCTGCACCAACTGAACACTGTGAGACCTGAATAAAAGAGTTTAATGATCAGTTTGAGATGCAAATTCAACCTGAACCCAGTCATCCTGATGAAAACAAGTTCAAAAGGAGACGACTGCTCCTGCCTTTCTAATGGGAGCATCAACAGACTCACAGTTGACAACATTATTGCTCGAGTGCATATTTCTGTAAGAGCTGGGGAGGGATATTTTGTAGAAGGGACTGACGTCAAAAAAAGCTGCTATTAAACTCCATCAAAGCCTGAAATCTGCAGTATGAAAAACTGACAGCAGAGAACCAGAAGAGCAAGCTCCAGCCTCTGTCAGAAGCTAGTTTCAAACTAAAAGTTGTTATCAGATTGCTCTAAAACCTAAAGAATGGCTTCACCCCCGATGGAAGTGTGATGAAAAGAGAATTATCCCCAATTGCTGCCAACACTCCAGCCCTCGGTGCCATCTGAGAGCGCCAAGCTGTCAGCCAGTCGAGGACAAACCAAACCTTAAAAAGATGAAAGTAAAAATGTCGAGCACTGAGGTAGACACGTAATCCTCCAGAGACCCAATTACACTCGAACCCCAAGAGGTGGTTGCAGAGGTGGAGAGTGAGGCGCCCACTCTCTTCAGACAGCTGAGTGCCTACGCCGCGGTTGGCGG